AAAAAAAAAAAAAAAAAAAAAAAAGTCAAATAAATAGAATTTGTATTCTTGCTCTGTAATTGCAGAAAACTGATGAATCTGACTTTTTATTGTTTTTTTATTCTGAAAACTCAGCTTCAGTGCTTGATATAATTTGGATGTATTTATTATAACTGTAAATTAAAAATTGTATTGTTTAAGACCTGAGTAGCATTTAAGTTTTCTTTGGATATTCTTGACTTTTTAAATATTATTAGTATGATACAGTGATCACATAGATGATTTTTTTATTCTGCATTTTACAAAGAAAGATTAAAAGATTGTATAATTGTTAGATACCTCTGAAGTCATTGTAATCGGTTAAATAATTGTATTCAGGTGTGCTGGGGGTAGGGCAGGGTGGGGGATGCATTGCAGCATTTTAACTGAAATTTAAGAAATCTCAATCATTTTTCTAGTGGTTTTTCTGAAGCTACAATTGTTTTTTAAACACTTTTCCCCTGTGAAATCTAAGTTGAAGGCTTGACTGCGTAAATAGAATCTTTACTGCACGTTTAGAATGTTACCGAGATACAAATGAATCTCGCTAGGGGAGAGATACCACATGCTCAGTGTGGTTCACCAGCTTCTTTGTTATAAATATGATTCAATGCTGGGAGCATTAAGGAGACAGCAAGTTGATGACTGTTCCCTTCACTTTGGACAGGCTAAAATCAACTGCTGTTTCCTTTTCATTTGCATTTGAAAGATATAACTAATGTGATGAGCCGTTTCGCAGCAGGAAAACTGGGTCATTAAAATGATATTAATTGAAGCTGGCCACAATAAACGGTTGCGGTTATAATGCCTCCTGTTCTGAAATAGAGCTATCATCCTGAGGCGAGCAGGGTAACTGAGTGTCACAGTCGGCGGGCAGCGTAAAGCATCCGAGGGTCAGATGTGGGAAACCAGGGATTTTGCTTCTTCGGCATAGTTTTCCAGGCAGCTTTCACTTGCTGACAGAGGTGACTGTTAGCTTGAGGACTAGCTTGAAATTAGCTTAATTGATTGCTTTTCCTGATGGAAGTAGACTGACAGGTTGCCCTTAAAGAGAGCACAATCTGAGAGAGGAGAGAGAGAGAGAGAAGAAAAAAAAAAAAAAATAGGCCCAAGGTCATCAGAAGAGAGAGGAGTCTCTGGTGAGGATTTGAGCTGCGTCCAGCATTGGATATTTGTCAGGAATGCAGATACCCTGAAGGGAACACAGCAATGGTCCAACGGGGTTTCCCAGGTAAGATTTCTGTAGGCTGTGTGGTCTGTGGTTCTTTCAGAATGCAATCTTATGCTGTTTTAGTGTTGGTGCAGAATGTGGTTTTAAAGGTTTAAATAATGGTAAGCTAAGGCATTTTTCTGAAGAGAGTGAGGGCACAAATGAATGTACAAGGCACTTGTACGTTAGAAGCAAACCCCTACAGTTTCCTTGCATGTGCATTGTAGTTTGAATTGTCATGATGTTTTTGAAAAGTGGAGCAGTTTATTCAGACTGTCAAAGATATACCAGTAGTTTCACTGCCAAGATTCTCAACCCTGTTCATGCAGTATCCTCTCCTTTCAGAATTATAATTGAGAAGTAGACCTCCGGGACGTTTATTATCATTATTGTTCTTATTTGTGACTTCACCATAATAAAAAGGGAAGACTATTTACATTAGAACTAGGTTATTCTGGTTAATTTTAAAAACAGACCAGTCAGCATTTTGTCACAGATGAAAGCAGAATATCATTAAGGACTCATAGTAGTAAACAAAAGGCTGCTTTTTCTAAATTGTAAAATAACACCGTATTTTATTTGCTAGTTGTGTTTGGTGCCTCATTCATCTAAACCTCCACATTTAAATTCATGAGGGTGGGGGCTCAGCTCGTGGAAGTATTACCACTGACTTTCTTGCTAACATAAAGGTTCTTGCAATCATTGCTATATTGGCAATATAATTTCATGCAATAGAGTAGTCTTAGTTTATGCTTTTGCCTGACTTAAAAAAATTAATTTATTAAAACCAGAGCTTCGTTTTATCAAAATAAAATGGAATATTGAAACATAATAGGAATATTCTTGTATAAGTATTATTGCCTCCAGGAGGCAATTGTTAAAGAGTTAGACATGACATTATAGCCTTTCTTTTTATTTTCAGCAGTGCACACGCAAATTAGGTTATTTCTACTGCAACAGTAGAATATTTGCTGCATTCCTGATTTAAGCTAGCAAACCTTATTCGTGGCTATGTTGTCAAAATTATTGAGCAAGAACTTTTCTTTTGCTTAAAATTTAATTTCTGAAGCTATTCCTGTGAGGGTGTTGAACTACCTAGTATTCAATTCTGTTATTTTGATTTAGAGGAAATGCTGCAGCCCCTAAATGGGCGCTTCACAGATTCCCCGTGGTGACAGCTGTCTGTCTATATTGTGTTTCTTTTCATTCTGCAGTTGGAATTGCTTTCCGTCGTCGGTCATCTTTTTAGTACTACTTCTCAAACTTGTATTGACAAGGCAACTTACAGGAATCATCCTGGATATTTGTGGGTCCTGCCTGTTTTTCCTCAGACTCTGCAGAGCAGTTTGTTCATTTTCCTTTTATTTTAGGAATTTTCTTAATTTTTAAAATCTATTTCTCCAGATTATAAATACATCTGTGCTTTAGTCTCCTCAGTATAACTGGCCATCCCTGATAATTTTCTTAATCTGCGCCACACTAAATTGAAGTCACCAGTGTCCAGGCTTCAAACACCATTGTGGAACCCTTGAAAATTTCCATTGCAGTTTTCTAGAAATTGAATCAAGTATGTCTAGTCAGTAGGAATTTGTGTGTCCTTTACATTTTATTAAACTAATATATAAACTCACTTAAAAGATGTTATTAACTATCAATGTGTCTCATAAATGGGCACATATTTATGTGTTATATGTAAGTTACTTTTTCAGTGTTCATGATCAGGATTGATTCTCTGTAGTAAATCTTTTCAACATTTATTAAAAGTTTCTATTTATGTGTACACATTTAACTCAAAAGTATTTTAACATTTTTTAATAGTCTTATGACTTTATCTTATATTCACTGCTTTGGCATTCAGTTGACTTGAAAAGTATGTTCCTATTTCATGTTTCTTTTTGGCATATTTTACAAAAAGTCATATATAGAATGATAAATAAAAGATGAAGTCTCAGTCTACAGAGAATTTACCTTTTCTTTTGTTCTTGCTTAGAAACACATTATTTTACCTGGGTTTATGTTGCTTTGATTTCAGTAGTTTGATGCCACTTTAAAGTATTTCAGATTTGATATATATGAGTATATGTTAAACACTCATCATTTTAACTAATCCAATGTTGAACAAAGAGAGGGCATTGTTATTTGAATTAAGGAAATAACTTATGAAAAATTAAGTAGCAGTTAAAGTTACTTTCTTGCAGAGACTGCCTCTTTTTTGTTGAATGCAATGGGGCAGGTGGTAAGAAATATCACTCCTAAGTTTCTGTTATGTTTACTTATTTAGATACTTGTTTTTTTAAACAATTTACTTTTATCTTTTTCTTTACATTTATGGTATGCCAAACTCTAAGATCCTTGCATACTGTGAAGAATTCATATTCCACATTTTGAATATATCTATTCTGTGTTAGTATTATTCTTCCCATTTTTAGATAGTAAAACTCTTTTTATAGAATGCTTGGAGGGGTTTCTCCATTGGTTGGTGGAAGTATAACAGCCGCAGTTACTATGGTGATGCATCATTAAGCATTTTTGGAACCTAATACAGCCCTAAGCCTAAGAGGAGGAATATAGTATCTAACATGAACTTTGCTTTCAAGAAGTTTATAATATTTCTAAAAAGTAAATGTATGTATAGATGCAGAGACACATGCACTGGAAGGCCCTCTGGAAGAGACGGAGCTTGTAAGGTTGGTGGGATTGGCTTGGAATCCAAGCTCCAGACTTGTGAGCCCTCTAAAAGAAGTGCTACAAGCCTGGTTTGTAGGAGTGAAAGGAGAGAAGTGTTCTGTGCCAGGAGGAGGGGATACATGTGACAGAGTTCTAAACGTTAAGTTCACGTTTAGTAGTCTGCTACTGTGTAAAATTAAATACTCTGGTTCTTCAAATGAGAAAACATTGGATTTGATTTAGTGCTAAGTCTCATTTAAGTTCAAGAATTTATTTTCTGAAATAGAAATTATAGTGATAGCTAATCCAGGTGGCTACATTTGAGAACATTGAAATGAAATTTACAGATTTATTTCTTTACTTTTTTGAATACTCATGTTCTAGGCACTGTGCTAAATGCCTTACACACATTATTTTCTTCAACACATATAATGTGATGAGTTTTTAAAAGTCTTATTATTTTATGGATCAAGTCTAGATGACTCCAAAGCCTATACATTTAAGAAGTTTTAACTTGTCGTGCCTTCATGCATCTTCTCAAGTAATCCCTCTCATTAGCGAAGCTAAATTAATTGCTGTTCTCTTTTCTGGTAATTTATTTCTTACATCCACTCATTGGACAAAGAGACATGTAATTAGAATTACTCCCTCCAGCCGGGCGCGGTGGCTCAAGCCTGTAATCCCAGCACTGTGGGAGGCCGAGGCGGGTGGATCACGAGGT